ATAATTAAATATACAAAATTATATATATTATAATTATGTAAAAAAAATAAAATAAAATATACAAATTATATATATAATAATTAAATATACAAAAATTATAAATTATTGTATATTTAATTATATTTAATATTGTATATTATATATATATATATATATATACTAGGATGCTCCGGCCACTTATTGTGCTGCGGTTTTGTTATAAAATATTAATTTAATATAATTATAAGCTATTTAGTAAATTATAACAACATCTAAGATAATGCCACAATTAGAATGGAATACATAAATTAATAATACAGGAAAAAATATACATAGTAAGATTAGTTTTGTCATATGTAAATCTGAAAAAAGCGTGAAATAATTGAATTGTAATACAGTTCCATCTATTGAAAACTTACAGAACCTAGAGACTTAGATAATCTCTAAAAAATAAAAATAATCACGTTCAAACTATCTCATATCCTAAATTAAAAATTATCACATAAAATAAAAAAAATTTGATTAGGATATACAGGGTGATCGGTAACTGGTGGTACAAGTAAAAAGGGGGTGATTCTACATGAAAAAATAAATCGAAAATATAGAATAAAAATATATATATATATATTCTTTGATCAATTCAAAGAAACGTCAAATATTTTTTAAATTTATTTAACAATCCCAAACCTCCATATCTTATTTTTTACATAAATTATTCCTACGAGATCAATCAAATTATTGAAAATAAATTTAAAACGATTTTATATACAAATTGCAGATCATTTTTTTTTTTTTGTAAGAACCATTTGTTCGATATTGAAACATCGAAATTTTTTATTATCAATTTATTATCAATCTTCTTTATAATTCTAACTTCTTAATATATCATCCTCTTCGAGACTGATCAATTATTAAGAAGAGAAAACAAAATCATTTTAAATTATATTACAAATTGTTGGTATAATTTGTTATCGAACGTTTGATCGATTTCGTAACGTTCTACCTTGTAAATTTATTTATAACACTTCTCGTTTAATATCACAACTTCTTTTTAAATTATTCTTACTTAGATCGATCAAAAGTGAAATAAAAAATTTAAAATGACGTGTTACAGATTGTAGATAATTTATTCGTACCATTACGATCTTCAATATCGAAACGAATTTATTCCAATTTATTATTCCATGATTAATTTAAAAAAAACATCTACTTTTTATTAATTATAATAATCCTGTTTAAAATTTTTACTCGAATCGATCGCATGTGATTTAGAAAATTGAATGAACGTTGAAGACATTCAATGATTCGTTTTGATTCTATTTGTTTTTTTTTTTTTTTTTTCAGGAGAACAAACTCGAAGAAATTGAAACATTGGTGGCAGTGGAAAATCCTAAAGCTAGTAAGACTTACAACGAAACTATTCGAACGTTCAAGAGCCATTGCCTGCATTATTTGAATACGTTGGACGATGGTCGATACGATGCTGAGGGTAATGGTGGTGGTGGTAGTGGTGGTGTTGGTAGGGGTACGATCAAATTGGATCGACATCGAGCGAATGTATGTTGTAAGCAAATCGACGATATTCTCAGGAGAATCAAAATAGACGGTGAAATTCCTAACAACCATTATATCAGAATAGCCATGGTACATGCTTATCAATATTTGCGAGAACTTCGGGGATTATGCGAGGATGTAAGTAAATACATTTAATAGCGATAAACGACAAGTAATTTAAGTGTCCTATTATGTCTTCGATCGATGAAAAATATTATTTTTTTTTTTCTATTCTTTACATTATACAAAAAAAAAATTATTTCTAAATTATTTCTTATTTAATTAATTTACATAATATTTTTTCTATGAGAGACGAAAATTGTGACCATAATTATTAAAAATGTTTTATAATAATTGTAGGTCAAAATTAAAAAAAAAAAATGATGTTTGAGTTTATTAGTTGTTTTAAATTAAATTAATTCAATATAATTATATATATATAGTTTAATATTGTTAAAAATAAATTTATTATATAGTGTTTATTATTTCAATATTATTTAGTGTTTAAATGTAATTCCTTTAAATTTCTCGAAACAAAAAAGATATATGACTTATGGTTAGACCACTTTTATAATTATGGTAACAATTGTATATTTTTTTTTTTTTGTAATTTTTTCCATTAAAAAACACAACCAAATTTGCTTTAATATTTCTCATATTTAAAAAAAAAAAAAAAAAAGGAAAAGAAAATAAAGAAGAAAAAGTTAAAATTAAAATGTTTATAAGAACCTTTAACGAAATTGTGTGTAACGAATGACGAGTTGAAATCTTGAAATATTAAAGTCGATGGTGAGAAATAATTCGCGAGAAGGAAGGAAGGAAAAAAGGGTAGGGAAGGAAAGGAAAGGGAAGGAAAGGGTCGTCGAACCGAACGAGACGTTGAAATAGATAGAACGTTGAACGAGAAATTAGACGACGACGGGTTCAATTCGATTAGAACGAACGAGACGGGCAATGGCCGTCTCTTTTTCCGGTTACTTTTATCTTTTTTTTTTCTTTTTATATTTTTCATAGTCCGATCTAGTTCAGATATCGTTCAGTGTACGTCTCTTTCTATCATTTTCCGTCGAGAACTAATCGAATTTAGGTGTGGGTTTATCCAACAGAATGAATCGATCTCATACGTCTCTTTTTTTTATTATTATTTTTTTTTTTTCATCTAATTTACTTTACAAGAATTTAATCATCTACATTTCTTAATTTTTTAAACAAATTGTAAATTTTTCTCATCGTCCTGTGTAAAATATTCTAAATCGATTTACGTGGATTATTCGTTTCGTGTGATTTTCGTCTTATATTTTAACGCGATAAAAATAAAATTCGTTTAATACAGAAATTGTTTATCGTGTAATAAAAAAAAAAAAAATTAGCAACGTTAATTGTAATTTTTTATATATAATCATTTTTTTTTTTATATATTTATATATTATTTATTACTAGTTTTATATATTATTTTTTATATAATTATTTCCCTACTAAATATATTATGTATATATTTATACAAAAAATTTATTATAAAATGTATTAAAAAAATATAATAAATATATTTATATAAAATATTATTACATTTTATATAACAATTTCGCAAATAAAATCAAAAAGAAAACGAATAAAACCAAAATTTTTATTTCGTAGCCGCAAGATGGTTTGCCGCACGTTTATCTTTGGATGTTGGCTGGTTCGAAACGTGTTGCATACGTCAAATTACCTGCAGAAAAGATTATTTACTCTGAGAATAATGCGGAAAGAGGTGAAAAGTGTGGACAATGTATTAACGTCTTTTTGAAGAATCCGAGTAAAGAAACTGAATTTGGTGGTGAAACGATCGATCAGTGTGCTTGCAAAATTGAAATCTTTCTATGGCTTGGTAACGCAAAGTTCGTATCCTCATGTTGGAGTTCTATTCCTCCAGGCTATGTAATTTCGGACCATGAAGTTCGAACCATCGATGCATTTCCAAAGTACTTTGAATATGATCGATCTTCGGTAAAACATACTCTTAAATAACTTATCCTTTTCTTTCCACATTTTGTTGTTGGTGTTGTTTTATTTTAAGTTTAACTCAATTAACACGAAATTTAAGTTTCATTCAATTATTTCATTTTAATTCGAATCATATTCGAATACTCGAATAAGATAGATATTATATTATAAATAATTAAATGAAACCAAACGAGAGATTATTACAAATTAATAAATTTGAATGATCTATCTAAAGATAATAAATAATAATTATCATAAATTCGTTAATTAACGATGACTTTTACAAGATGTATCATATAATATATATATACATATATATTTATATAATTCTCTCGTTAATGCATTTGAAAGGATTTTATTACGTATATATATGAAATAATAATTTATTCGAGTTTATTAAAAAAAAAAAAAAAAAAAAAATAAGTAACAGATAAATTTTTAATCCCGTAAATGTACTAAACCTCATCGATGTGTGTGTTTTAAAGCGATGATATTGAAAATACATAGTTTATTTATTACTCTTAAATTTTCCTTCGTACGATATTACAATTGCGATGGCATATTTATATTTATATGTGCCATCGCAATTGTGATTTATCACGTAATTTAGTATTCACGAATATATTGGGATTAAAGTGTTGGTAATGTACATCTACGTATTACAAATATCAATAATGCGGTAAGCGAAAATGAATATCAGCAATGAGAATGTATCAATTCGAAACTGTAAAAGGAATGATGTTAATAATCTGCATTGCAGACATTTCAACTACGTGCACATATTTTTCAAGGACGTTTCGAGCCAGGTATGGACACGTCTGCTTTGTTGGATCCATTCGTACGTGTGACATTTTTTGGATACACCTTGACATCTAGCGTGAGTTAATGAGACAATCTTTTAAGATCTTTTGCAACATTGATGTTAACATTCGCTTCTACGAAACTTAATAAAAAAAAAAAAATAATAATAATATTTTATTGATGAATCATTGAATAATTATGAGAACAGGTCATACGTCAAAGTTTGGATCCATTATGGGACGAAAGTTTGGTATTTCCTAAAGTAAAAATTCATGGGACTAGAGAACACATTAAAATTATGCCACCTAAAGTAGTTCTTCAAGTTTTCGACCAGGATATCTGTGTGAGTTAGAGAAACTTCAACGATCATGCTTATGTATTAGTAAGTAAGAAATTTGTGAACTTATATATCATGACTACCATCACCAGCTGTTTCGTTTCGTATCTTCGATTTCGATTTAAAATAAAATAGAGAGAGAGAGAGAGAGAGAGAGAAAGATAGAAAGATCTAGTTTATCGTCGAGAATTTCCCCAACATATTTTTCTACGAAAATCACAGGGTATGAAGGAGTTTTGCGGAAGGTGCATAGCCGTTCCATTAGTTAAACTCTCTACGGAAACTTACTCACCGCCAGATTTTCAACCTAAACTACGATGGTACAGATTTCAGTCGAGGGGGAAGAATTATACCGGTTCCATTTTAGCTGCTTTAGAGCTTATCGAGGTAAAAGGAAAAGTTACCAACCAAAAAAAAAATTTCATCTTGATATTACCAATAACATTTATATATTTGTATCTAGTAACATAAATATCATATAAGAGATACATATATATATATATAATATGATTTTGTGCAGACCGAAGAAACTGATATGGTTGACGTACCATTGGACGAAAGTACAGAAGAGGAAATAAAAAACATACCACCGGAAATAAGACCAAAAATGACAAGTTATCGTTTGGAGGTTATCTTTTGGGGTGTTAGAGATATGAGAAAATTACATTGGGTACCAGTTTATAGGCCAAGAATTGTCATAGAATGTGCTGGTGTTGTCATCAAATCACGTGTCATGGAAAATGCTAAGAAATTTAGTAACTTTGAGGAACCACGTGTTATGGTTGATCTGGTAATACATTATTTTTATATATATTAATTATTATTTATATTATTATATAACAACAAGAACAATAATAAAAAAGGCTATTGTTATAAGTTATAAAAAAATATACAGGAACGTGAGATAAATAATATTCTTCTCAGTTCACATGTCACGTCCTGTCAGTCAAAAGGATGATCGATATTGGCTTCTCGCCTCGCATACCTGGTTTGATGAGTTATTGCTATCAAAAATACTATAGTCAAAGAATATTTGTTAAATCTATGGATACAATAAACGAACAAAGCTTAGTGCTTCGATACGTTCATTGAAAAAAAGACTGAAGAAAATAATTTAAATGACAGTTCGATTAAATGAAAAAAGTTTAACGTACAAAGCAGTTTTGTTCGATCTCGTTAAAATATCTCCAACAGATGACGGATTGATTATGCATATATAGATAGATAGATAGATAGATAGATAGATAGATAGATAGGTAGATAGATAGATAGATAGATAGATAGATAGATATATGTTACCTTGAAAGACCGAAATTGGAGAATGTCAAGATTCAAATGGACACTTGATAAATGTTCAAAATATTATAATGTATAAGAAAAAAAACCTCAAATATTCGATCTTTTACCACCATGTGAAACTCAACATTCTCCAATTTTGGTTTTTTTTTTTTTACTGTAACACATGGAAAATGAGAAAATAACAAGTAGGACAGTTTAGTCTATGATCAAATAATTATTTACAACGATACTTGAAAAAAAACTTTTTTGTTTTTAATGTTCATATTTATTTTAATCATTGTACAAAATTTCCTTTGCAAAACGTTTGAAGGAGATGCCAGTACTTCACGAATATTATCCATGCGTTACCATACGTGCTTATGATTCGCGAGGATTTGGGTGCTTCAAATATGCCGGTATCTGCATAATTCCAACAGTCAATGTGTTCCTAGAACAATTAATAACTGAAGAAGATTATCATGCACAAATATACCAAACGAAATCAGTACGAAAATTTGTTCGTGGTGTTGTTATACCATCTGCTGCTGCCACTTCTATTAAACGACGACCACCATGTAAGTGATTATAAGAGAAAGAGAGAAAGAGAGAGAGAGAGAAAGAGAGAGAGAGAGAGAGAGAGAGAGAGAGAGAGAGAGAACGTCGCAATGGATAATCTAAATCGTTCAGGGGATAGAAATTCTAACGGAGTAAAACCTTTGATCGTTTGCCAAACAACCTGGTTCTGGTTTCCCGTCGCAGAAACCATGATTTTACGATGTTAACGTTAGAAAGCTATGTACGTTTGACTAATAACACGTTGAATATCTCTGAAGAAAAATAAAAGGAGAAAAATAAAGATAAAGACAAAAAAATTAACGTAGGAATGGGTCGGGGCCTTTGCAAAAATTTTCCCTTTTAATTTTTCGTGACAACTATTTTTGCCGAATCATTGAATCAACTTATTATAAAATTATAATGTTATAATATTAATTTAATACTATATTATAATATTAGGTTTAATTTAATTTTATAATGAAATTATAAGTTTTATTTACAAATAAATAAATAAATATTATATTATAATATATTATAAAATTATATATATATATATTATAGTATTAAATTAATATTATAATAAGATAATTAAATTTTTAATTATTATATATGTAATTATTATAATTATTTATCATTATATAAATTAATTAAATTAATATTTTAATATAATTATAATATTAATAATTAATATAATATAATTTTTATATTAAAATTATTTATTTTTATTTTATAACTTTTACCTCTATTTATTTATAATGGAAACGATCAAAGTTAATACCCTTATTAAACGAATTAAATAAGTAATAATTATATTAATAATAAAAAATAATTCGAATTATTTGAATTTTTATCCTATTGTTAAAAACAATATATTAAACTTGAAAATGAAATATATGAAAATTGAATAAATACAATTTTTATGGAAAATATATTTGTTTGTTAATAGATGTATTATCACTCGATACTGCCGTTGAAGATGAACGCAAGGGTTTGATGGAATATAAAAAAGTGTCCTACGAAGGGTTTCCACGTAAAAGTTTCAATTTTTTGCAATTCTTCAAAAAATTATTCAAATGGAGAAAAATAATTAAAAATAAAAGAAAGGAAGATTATGGTACGACGACAGATGATGATAGTCTTGATTGGTGGAGCAAATATTTCGCTTCCCTCGAGGTATGTACTATCACTTTATCTCTATCTCTCTCTCTCTCTCTCTCTCTCTCTTTTTAATTGCTATTAGCTATACACCGTTCTAAATTTTAGCTTTAATATTAATTTAATTATAATATATATATACATACATACCAGATAATTTTATTATCTATCTTCCTATATCCTCTGTCCACACACACATTTGTCTACCATAAATATAATTTTATTGTTTTCTTTTATATATTACTAATTTTATTACCCTAATTACACGTTGATATGAATAATTTTGAAACTATAATGGCATATGTGGTTTAAATTTATTGTATTATTATATATCAATTAATTTCTTATTTGTGTCAAATGTATAGAAAAGCAGAATTGTGTACACATATGCATATATGTGTCAGAATATTGCATAGAGGATTATGCACGAATACAATTTTATTAAAATGAAATAACAGGTATTTGCATAATCTCTCTTTTTTTTTTTTTTTTTTTTTTTTTATCTGACAGATTGCATTCTTCTTTTATTGTATAATCATAGGTATATACGTTATATCATATTATTCTACACTTCAGTTTTAACATTCATTTCATTTTTGTATGTACTATAATAATCCTACCATATATTTCAAGGATTTAACATAAAACTTGAGACCAACTGACTTTCCTGTATCCAATTTATTTTTTTATTCAAGAATTCATATATTCTTCTTTTAAAAAATACGAAACGTTATATGATAAAATAAAAATAAACATTTTAGTTAGCGAAAAAGAATTTTCTTTGTAATCGGAGTATCTTTTAGGAAGAAAATAAAAGAAAACACGTTGCAATTTCACATTCTTCAAGTTTAGTTTCATCTTTCTCTGAAACACCTTTGAACATTCCAAGAAAAGTATCAGTAGCTACGTTCAAGGTATGTTTACATAATTTAATCTATACAAAACTTTAGTATCGATCGAACTGATATTAGATATATTCCGAGGAATTGGAAACTCAACCAGAATTCCATGGATTTCAAGATAGATTAACCACATTTGAATTGTCGAAAGGAAAAAGAATTGAAAATTTCGAGAATGGCATTGATACTCTTGTAGGAAAATTTAAAGTTAGTTATTTCATTGATAATACATTTTTACATAATTATGATAAATATATTATAGACAAAAAAAGTAACACATGATTGTTTAAGATTTGAATTATG